TATATATATATATATAATTGTCCATTTTATTAATAATAACTAATTATTTAAGTGCGGATCCAAGCAAGGTGGGTAATACTTATACCCTTATTCATTTCCATTAAATTTTATGAGTAACTACATGGTGGCCAACTCATTCATTAAATGAGTATTTACTCTATCTATTACAAGTATCTATATTAGATTCGGGTAGAATTGTCGTAGCCATATCAAGAAAATAATAGAACTGTTGTTCACCTAACTTTTTGAACACTGTGGAAAGTGGATGTTTTACGGTTTGGTTCAATTTCTTGCAATCGTCACACATCTTTAGTGAGAATTTTTGTGAGGGTTAATTCACCTTTTTAATTACTAATTAATGTCGCCCCATCTTTTTTGGGTTCACTTAAATTTGACTCGCTCACGCACGAATCAACAGAAATAGGAAAAATCATATTTGCTTCAACTAACTTGAACACCTCATTTTTCACTATCTCTAACAGCAATAGGATAAATCATAGTACTAGCTTCAAACACCTTTAATTTTACTGCTATGTCTAATGTTTAACAATAGCAACGGGATAAATTCGTTGGTAGCGATATATGATTATGAAGTACAAAATAACTAAAATACTGAACGCTAAACATGAAATGTTGTAAAAGATGTTACATGTTTATATTAAGTTAATATATATCTTGCAAGGAAAATATTAAACAAATAAAAAAGTTGCATAATATATAGAATAACGAAAGACACAGCGACCAAAGCACTAACTTTGATCATCAATACCGTAATTTGCACGTAATTGTTGATAGAAGACATTAGACACTTTGTAGTGATTTGGATACCGCAGTGGAAAAATCCGTTGTTGTTGATCTTGGAGGAGAAGAGAGGAAAGGTTTGGGTGGCATTTCCAATGAATCCGTGGTACCTTCCAACATGTCAATCACTCTACTTATGGTAGGTCTATGAGAAGGAATTGTCTGAATGCACCACAAACCCACCATAGTCATTCTCTTGGCTATCTCATTTTCCCCATCAACTCCAAAATCACTACCCTGCTCAAGCTTCTTATAAATAACCAATTGCGGGAAATATTTCTCGCTTGAGCGACTAGCTTCATCAACGTCCACGTTCTTATGCCCTCCAACCATTTCTAGCAGCATCATTCCGTAGCTGTAAACATCACTCTTGTGTGAAACACCTCCAAAACTTTTGTTAAATAGTTCCGGAGCCACGTACCCTATTGTCCCTCTAGCATTTGACATTGAAATGATGCTTTCATCTCTTGTGCTCAGCTTGGCAAGCCCAAAATCTGATATCTTGGGTCGGTAACTTCCATCCAAAAGAATGTTATGTGGCTTAATGTCGAAATGAAGAATTCGAGTGTTGCATCCTTTGTGCAAGTACTCGAGTCCTCGTGCTATGCCTATTGCAATCTCGTGCAATCTCTCCCAACTCAACCATGGAGTTGTAGTTTCACTTTTATCTGCCTTCTTATTGTGAAGGTACTTTTCAAGTGAACCATTCGGCATGAATTCGTAGATGAGAGCTTTTCTGCTTCCTTCTAGACAAAATCCAAGGAGAGACACAATGTTAACATGGGATGTTTTGCTTATGCTAGCAACCTCGTTGATAAATTCCTCGCCGTTTCCTTTTGACTCGTTTAGAATCTTCACTGCCGCTGAGCAACCGTTGAGTAATTTTCCTTTGTATACTGAACCGTAACCACCTTCTCCCAGTTTGATTTTGAAGGAGTCCGTCATTTTCTTGACATCAGTGTAACTGTATCTTTTTAGACCCATGGAACCTTGGCTTTCAAGGAAGGCTTCTATAGCTCGATCATCCCTTTTTATCTTGCCACATTGTGTTAATATAAACTTCCATATCATAGCTTTGTTACGGCATATGATGACAGCTATTAGAGGTAATGCAAATCCAGTTCCAATGAAACCTGTTAGCAGAGTTAGGGGTCAAGTGTCATTCACTACATTAGTAGACATGAAAATAATTAAGATTTCGAGAAAATTAACGAGTTTGGTATAAATTTCATGGGCATGCATTTTATTCTTATTTTCTTGGTAAGATATCAGATACAGAAACAAATTGTTGCCTTATATATGTCCAGAATGCGTCTAATGAGGAAAAAAGTTTGACAAAAGCTGTACCTAAAACCAGCTTCAACACTCTGTGCTTCCTTCCACCTGCCATGAATAAGCGTACATCACAGTTAGATTGCTCGGTTTCAGAACTTCTCATTCTGTATTTGTCATGGGAAAACGAATACCTCAAAATTTCACATCGAGGGGAAAAGAAAAAAGTATAGAATTTGACATGTTAAGAGTGTTGAGAGGTGATTGTCAGTTTGTCACATGGCTAATTATAACCGTTATGTTTATGTTTATGTTCGATTCTTAAACTGAAAGGTATTTTTATCATATACTGAATACTATTACTATTTTAAAACAATTATTACTGTTATGCTTATGTTCAATCCTAAAATTTTATGACAAAATAGCTAACCATTAGATAGCTTAAGTCATTTTTTTCAAACATAATTCGGTGTAATATGATATGTACCTAAACCTCACCATGAATCATTGCCAATAAATTACTCGGGAAAACAATGTTAAGTCAACCATTGCGGAAAACAAGCAGAAAGTGTTGCATGCAAATTAGTCATGCGATGGGTGCTCCAATGTCCACTTTCGGTGACCTGTTTTCTCAATCGTCTCTAGAGATTCGACTCAATTTTCAATTTTCCATCCATTAAAATAATAAAAGAAAACTTAATGATTTTATTATTGTTATTATTAGTACTATACACAGACGTTGATGTTTACCCTTTCATGCACAGCTGCACAAAGTATACTTTTTTAAGAAGAAATGGGGTTCCCGGTTAACTGGAACTTCTCAGCTACAGCATACAGGTCAACTTATGACAATATTAGAAACCAAAAGTTGATGATGTGTGCTACAATATTCAACACATTTTAGGTAAGTAACAGTTATTGAAAATGGAGAATCCGTATTATTTAATCCTGTCTCTGTCTCTGTCTCAACTCTCATGACACACATGACACATTAATTTATTTCCCACACTACTAGCTAGACACTCAGAAGTCAACATTGACAGAAGAAAATCAATAAATTATTACTATGAAATTGATTGAAGTACGATTTTTAAATTTTAATACCATAGTTTACAAACACAATACATTGGCCTAAATCATGAGTAAATTTTAATACTACAGTGCAATTGCTTGAACCTGCAGCAGAGTTTGTATTCGGTAGAACAATTTGGATGTGCGACATAGAATTAATAGATACTTTTATATACAGATTATGATAAATAGCCTTGTGATTTCAAGTACTGAAAAGAGCAAATGGGTTTCTCTGAAGGATGATTTAATGAATAAAGCTATCACATTTGGACTGATTAATTGCCTGAACTCCCACTACACACTACAAATTCTCAATCTTTAATTACTCATTCAACACATCATATCCAATCTTTGCGCCGTATAGAATTACTAAAGTAAACTAAAGTTGGACTTATTTTTCTATTTAAAGCATAGTTTTGATATGTTTGAGGTGAACTATAATCTTGAGTTTTTCATTACACGTGCCAGTTGCCAGAGTTATTAGCAAGGCATTCAGGCAGAATGGGAAGAGGGGACATAGAATCTCCTTCATTATTTATCTAACCTTTATGAAAAATGGAATGAGTTAAACATGTGTATAAGACCAAAAAGAGGAGAGAATATTATTATTAAATGATCCAAGATTATTACGGAGAAGAGAGCAGAGAAAAGATAACATACTCTTATGTGTTGAGCACACTGAACCATGAGTTCCACCGGAGCAATAACAAGAAAACTGAGCCAAATCATTCTCAATCGCCCCACATGCTCCTCCAGATTCCTTGCATGCTGTGCACTGAGAACTCCACTCTGCATCATACTCTACCTCAAACCCTTGATCCAGCGCTTTCTCCAGCGTCCCAACTCCACTTTTAGAGTCCCAAACAACACCCTGTGAAACCTGCACCTGAACACTAACCCCACACTTCTGAAGATCCAGGAACTGCTTCAGCTGAGTTCCATTGACCACATAGAAAGCATGTTTATTACTATCATTCCGGCACGTAAAACTGTTTCCCACAACTGAATTCCCCGAGGGACATTCGTAGAATACAGTCACATTCTGAACAGCGGGAAGAAAACTAAAGGGAGTGGCACTCAGAGAAGTGTTGGTGAAATTGGAAGAACAGCGATCATAGACAAGGTCTGTTCGCACCAGTCTCAAGGTGGAAGCGGTTTGGTTAATGTTTAGCACATTGAACTTTTGGGAACCAAGTTGAAGCGAAGTGCTTTGATTATGCATGCAGGTGAGGTTGAAGCCATTGCGGCCACAAAAGTGAGGTCGATTCCCTCCCCAGAAAGGATAGGATATGTTGGTGAGAGTTCCACAACTGAATAATGATTGGCGGCAAATAGAGTAGGTGTCGTTTTCCTGAGAGTAGCATTGTGGCAAAGTTGGTAAGAAGAAAGCAAGTATGAGTAGGGATGCAAGGAAGGAAGAGTGAGGAGTCATTTTTACATAGGAAGATGGAAAGGTTGGGACGAGGCCTGACATGGTTTTTGTTGAAAACTCGATGTGGTGAGTGTGAAGGTGAGAAGTTGGTTTTTTAAGGAAGGGAAAAAGAGGAAGATAAAGCAAGCTTGTAAGTGAGTGCGTTGATTTGAAAAATGGATGCGATCATGTGTAGTAACTAGTATTATATATAATTATGTGAAACGAGGATAGCTAAAATAATTTGAGTGGATAACACAAGTATCAATTCATTTGACTTGGAGAATGACAGTAGAGTAACTTTAGGCGCATTGGCAATTTACCCGTGCGTGGCACGGATCGGGGAAAAGGATATGTGCGACCGGCAAAAAATGACCGCTATCAAGTAACGTGAAAATATCTTCAAGAGTTCCAAACCTAGATTTCTGTCTTTTTCATTACAAATATCTTTGAAAAATTTTCCAAGTATACTACACATCATTTTTTTATAAAATCAGGTTCAATTTTTGTCTTAGATTTAAAGTTGTGACTGAAAACATTACTTTGACTATAAGAGATTAAGAGTCGACTTAATGGGAAGGAGTAATACTCCTTATCAAGCGAGAAAAAAAAAAAAAATCTCTCATGTTAGTTGGATAATAATTGATTAAGACTTGTAGAAATTTCAAAAATTGAAAATCACTTGTTGGGCAATTGTAGCGTGACTCATGGCAAAAAAAGGAGAATTATTTTATTGGATGAAGCCCAAAATATTGGGCCTAATGGATTTTAAAAGGTTAGCGACATCGTCAACCCAATCGCATCACCAACGCTTGAACCATGGGAGATTGAACCAAATCCTTGTGCTGGGCGCTGGCATCGTGTTTGAACTTGTTGCGCCTTATGAGTAGCTTCCAGAGCTAGGAACCGAGTTCATTTTATTTTTTTATTTATTTTTATTTAACTTGGTTGAGTGACTAAAGACTAATAAAGAGTACAAACCACTCCATCTTGATGAATTATTTTTTAAATAACTTTTTAAAAAATAATAAATACATTAAAAAGCCTCAGAAAAATATGAATTTAAACCTCACCGCAATTGAACTAACAAAAATTAAGGTTTTTATGTAAGGCTAAATGAAGAGGTGTCATCAATCCTATCCCAGTCTGCATATCATATACTGAAATTGGCACTTCATCTTCACCATTCTTAACTTTCCGCTCAATGGAAACACCTTGTAAAACTGGAATGGGAAAAGAGTTTGTCAGACTATTCAAAGAATCATTGATAGCATTGGTGAATAATTGCCTTCCTGAATGGAAACTTATCGAATAAAAATTCTCCAAAGTTCTAGTATTCAGTAATTGAGAATTAATCACAGCTACTGGAGGTGGTACAAGTATCCACTTGGGTTTTGATAGGAGTAAAAATGAATGGCTTTGGTGGAATTTGCAACTGATCTATACTTCCTTTTAACATTTCAACCACCCTACTCATAGAAGGCCTATCAGATGGAATTGTTTGTATGCACCACAATCCAACAATAATCATTTTCTTACAAATTTCATTTTCCTCCGTGGTCATACCTTCATGCCATGCTACATTGCTGCCAACCTCAACATGCTTGTATATCCAATGAGGAAAATATGTCTCACTGGAATCACTTGCTTCAATGCTGATATTTTTCCTTCCTCCAACCATTTCCAAAATCATCATTCCATAGCTATACACATCAGACTTATATGACACCCCTCCAAAGTTTCTGTTCCACACTTCTGGAGCTATATACCCAATTGTCCCTCTAGCCCCATACATTGATATGATACTGTTTGTTTCTGAGCACAGCTTAGCCATCCCAAAATCAGAGATTTTGGGACAGAAATTTTTGTCCAAAAGGATGTTGCTTGGTTTTATGTCAAAGTGTAATATCCGAGTACTGCAACCCCTGTGCAAGTACTCTAGTCCTTTAGCTATCCCTTCAGCAATGTGGTGTAATCTTTCCCAACTCAAAGGTGGATTGGTTTCAAAATTCTTGTTGAGTATAAACTTTTCAAGAGATCCATTGGTCATAAAATCGTAGACAATAGCTTTCTTCTTGTCTTCAAGACAAAAACCAAGTAGATTAACAATATTTACATGGGACGTTCTACTTATGCTTATAACCTCGTTGATAAATTCTTCCCCGTTTCCTTTGGAACCATTCAGCACCTTCACAGCCACGGGAGAGTTGTTGCTTAGATTTCCTTTATATACTACACCATAACCACCTTGTCCTAGTTTGGACTCAAAATAATTGGTCATTTTCTTGATCTCTGAATATGAGTATCTTTTTATGGGCAGAGGTCCATTATTTCTGATGAAGGCCTCAATGTCTTGATCAATCTTTTTGGACCTCCAAAATTTTGACACAGTTGGTGCCAATCTACGCCTAAAGCAGCAAAGTAGGATGCATATCAATAGTGCTCCAAATCCAATCCCTCCAGCTATTAAACCTGTAAGCAAAAGTAGGATGTTATTCAGTTGATTTTATTGTAATTCTTTCCACTTTCACAAAACTGGGCAGAGAAAAAAACTCGCGTGGTTTGAGATACTAGTTGAGGAGAAACCTTGGTTCAGATTGAAGACAATAGCAGTTGAAGATTTGAAGGTACCTAGTTTATTTTTTCCGTGTCATATTTTATTTGTTTTACAACATTTACGAACAATCCATAACTTTATGTCCATGTACCAAAAAAGTCCATAACTTCACGTGAAACAAGAAAAAGACAAGAAATGTAACTCAAGACAAAAATTATACCTATAACAAATTTTGACAAACCGGCGCTGCTTCCCCCTGTTATTAAAACAGAACATAATCAGTTAAATACTTAAATAATAAAACACATAGATATACGAGGCAACAGAACATAATTAAGTTATTCTATTGATTCCACCGTGACCAAAAATACATACCTTCACATGAATTGCTTCTTGTACTTCCATCCTTGCAAAAGCACAGCACCTCCTGCTTTGTGTTACTAAAGCCACAAACACCATTACTAGCCTCACACTCGACGCATTTCTCAGCTGTTTTCCATTCAAGCACGAACCCTTCATTCATGGCTCCAGCAAACTCCTTAATCAAATCACCATCACTTGTAATCTGATCCTTCATAACTGTCACCACAACGTTTGCCTCGCAGTTCCCAGACCAGTCAAAACCTTTGGTCTCTTCCCCCATCATAAACACAAAAGACTCATTGCTTCCAGAACTGAGACACTCGATAGAAGACAAGCCAGAAGGGTAGTGACTGCAGTTGTAGTAAAAGCTAAGGTTCAAGTTCAAGGGTGAGTGAAAAAGTGGAAGGTTTCCCAAGGGAACTTTGTGAAGTGCCCTTGGACAAGCTTGGTTTGCAGTGTCATAATCAACGAGCTTAAGACTATGGTTTGCATGGTCTATGTATTTTACGTAATAGTATAATCCGGGAGGTAGATTAAAAATGGTTCCACTATCACAAATAAGACCGAATTCTGAGTAACCGCAATATTCATCAGGAGGGGAGCCTTGAGATAGCCAAAAAGGGTAACTGATGTTAGGTCCATTTGAGCAGTGGTTTGTAGGACAAGTTTTTGAGAATGATGTGTTGTGGCTGCTAGAGGTAGTAGTGAAAAGGAGAAACAAAGAAGGAACAAAGCAAAGAAAAGCAAATTTGAACATGAGGACCAAGTATTTTAATCGGTTGGAGATATAATTAGTTCAGTGTTGGAATGAAGAAGAGGGTGAGTTTCAACATATATGAGGCCATTACCAGAATTTCCCATGTTTGAGACTTTGAGGTAGGGAGGAAATTTCTCTGAAGGCAGCAAAGTGGAAATAAGTAACGTGACGCAGAAGACACGATATAGGGACGCGTAGGTCAATGTTACATGAGAAGAAAGCAGTTCGTAAAAGAGAATGAGAAATTATTGATACGTTTCAAATTTCTCATGTTCTAATGTTCACATTGGTTTTCAACAAAAATTAAAATGAAATGTGTTGATATTAATCCAAGATGCACAGAGGTTCTAGATATGGTTTGCTACAATATTATGTTATTAATATGGCTGAGTTTATTGATGAAAAAATTATCCAACAATGACGTCAATTTGAACAATATTCGTTTACGTATAAGTGTATAACATTAGCGTTATGCTATTACTAGTAGGGAAGGACCTTTATATATTTATTTTTAAAGAAATTTTTAAAAAATATTGTTTTTAAAACAATTTTGAAAGAAGATTATTTCTGAAGGAATTTTGAAAAAATATTGTTAAATCTAAAGGTAATAAGGTTCAATACAAAAAATGTAAATCAAAAGAATAATTATCAAAACTCATCTCTTTTATAATAAGTATAGATTTGTAGCATAATAACTAATTTATCACCAATAACCTTAATTTTGTGCATTTGACTCATTCTAAAATTACATGTTATTAACAAATTAAAACTTCAAAATAAAAAAAATTGTTATATATTAATATGAGTAGCTAATAAACAAAAGAAACTTGCTTTTCTTTTTTTAGTCTAAGATAATAAGTGCGTTAAATTACCAAGTAAGTTCACTAACTATTTGAATCCTTGAATTGGGTAACTTCTTTTTTTTTTTAAATTGAGTCCTTAATTATTTTTTTTTAAATCGCTATATTGTAAAATAGTAATTTTATGAGTTTTTCTATGAAGAGAAGGGTTGTAGCCACTTTTTTTTCTAAGAGTTTTTAGAGATTTTTTTAACTTATTTTTTAATTTAATTTTTTATTTGTTTATCATATTATAAATTAAATTTTAATAAACCCCAAGCGTGTGGTTTAGTGGTAGGGGTTGATTCACGCTTAAGCAAGGTCAGGAGTTCAAATCCTGCCTTGTGTATGCAGTCGCGTTAACTTGGGACCAGCTATGTGTCCAACGTAGCGGTGGATACTCTAGGGACGAACAAAAAAAAAATTAAATTTTAATAATTTCAAAATAAATTATTAATCATTAAAATAATTTTGTATCACAATATACTAAGTCTAAGAAATAATTTATTTATACAAATTTTTAATATATTTTATATTTAAATTTAATATTTATTTGTGTAAATAATTAATTAAAAATATAGTTATATATAATTTTTATTTAACTTATGTAATACATAGATTAAAATATTAGTTAATTCTATGACTAATGGATTGGTCGTTTATTATTATTATTATTATAAAAAATAATAATAATAAAAGACACTGCATGTCTCCATTAAAAAAAAGATAAAATAACAAATCTATTTGAATAGTTTGTATAATTATTAGAGACTATATATAATTATTAAGGGTAAAATGGAAAAGATAAAAGTAGACAATAAATGAGAAAATATTATTATTATTATTATTATTATTGTTATTATTATTATTATTATTATTATTATTCACGAGTGCCTTTATTAAAGCTACAGGGCTGATAATAAAGTAATAAAAGTAATTTTTTTATTAAAAATAAATATTATTATATCATAAATACAAAACTCATTTTCTTAAGTAATTAAGAACAATTAAATAATATAATATATTATTATTTCTTCTAATCCATGATTATAAATATATTTTATTTTTTTAAAATATGTTCTCTCAGTTTAGAGGAAAATAAATGAGTACACAGTGTTGTTCTTGAAAGTGGCGAATTGTAAACTTTTGGTCCTTGAATGATGTTTTAATAACAATTTTGTCCTTTAAAATTTAAAGTTACTAAAGGAACTAAAATAATAAGTAATCTTAAACTTATTGGACTAGCAAAACAAAAGTAAAAAAGAAAAAGAAAAACTTATTTGCCTGGGAATTTATTTAGATAAATTTTTCTAAAAATGCTTACAGGAGAAAAAAATACAAAAAAAAAAAGAGAATATAACTTCTTCATAAGTTAATACATAAATAAAAAATAACTCTCTCATATTAAAAAAATATTTTTAAATTGTACATAAGTTAATTTTATTTTATAATTAAATTTGTTTCATTCTTCTTATTTTCTTCTCTTATAAATACTTCTAAAAAAACTTATCTACTAAGTTATACAAAGATATACATTTACTTTAAAATGTTGAGTAAATATTGGTATTATTCTCCGATTATTGTTGGATTTTAGTTTAATAACACGTATTAACATTGAATAGAATCATGTATTATATATATTACCCATAATTTTGATGAGAGAACGGTAAGAACCTTGTCTAAAGTCCTGTATGAGTATGTAAGTTTTATTGTTATGGCAACTCCTATATAACAGTGGTAACGATAATTGAAGTTGTAGACTATTGGCTACTAAATGTAATGTTTAGAAATACTTGTTTGGAACAATTTTCCTTTGTTGTGATGTGAGGTTTTCAAATCACAAAAAAGGCAGTATCTGAAAGCTAAAAGCAGAATGAGATTGTGAACCCAAACCAAAACCAAAAATGCATCATCATTGCTTAAATTGTGGTAAAACATAGCAACACTGGCACTGTAAAGGCAGGTTGCATTTTTTTGCGGGAGAAGAAGAGGCAGGCCTCGTGTTTGCACAGATCCTTGAAATGGGCCTGACAATTCACTACGTCTAACTAGAAAGAGCAAAGGTTGAGCCCATATAAGCCAATACAGGCTTAGGCTTTACACCTCACACTAAGTCACTAAACCTAATTGATTCTTCAACTGTTAACTGGTTTATATACAGCTGAATGAAAGTGAAAGTAGTAAAATTTTGCTAATGCCACCTTGCGGCACCATCAACGGAGGGCGTTATGTCACTGTCCGATAGTGACTCTGAGCAGCTGAAAGGCATGCCACTTATGAATGATGTTGTGCCAAATGTTGCATTCACTGGCCACTCACTGCACCCAATTTGTGCATTATGGTTTGATATATAGTTGCCAGCTTCTGCAGGTTTATCACCAAAATAGTCGTTATGTTCATATTCTATTACTGATGCTTGGTGATTGTTTGGAAATTGCTCCACTGTTTCACCTATAGAGTTACATTCATATACATTAATTAATGTCAATTACTAAATTTCAGAGTGGATATGCACACATTGATTAGTGGAACATAAAAACATACCTTGGTTTAACAGAGCCCCATCAATTTCCTCCAAGTCATTCCATCTATTATATGCTTCTCTCACCAATTTCTCTGCATAACCCTGCATTCAAATGAATTATTAATATAGGATGAAAATGAACCCCTAGTGAAATCTAAAGTATGGTGAGTAGGTTTGAGTATAAAGTCATACCCTGGTCATGTTGCTTAGGTCTCTGCCAGGGAAACTTTGGCCACCGATTTCAGCTCTAATCAACTGGCATATGGCATTAAGAAAGATGGTACAATTAGGCCCACGGTACACGTAGAATTTGTTGCCCTTGTCGCAAGTTTTTGCATGCTTCATTGTCACATCCCACATTCTCTCTGACATTCCAACGCCCAAAATCTGATATTGCAAAACCATTAATCTTACATACATCGTCAATAATACAAGGAATTGAGTAATAATAATGATATATTACCTTTCTGAGCTTATGAGGATCAACAACGGATAACTTGAGAAAGTCTTGCACGCTGGAAATCCCCTCTTTGGTCAATTTTTTATGGAAAGCTCCGTCTTTACCAATCTTCTCTAGGCGCCACACTTCGTCGTGGAGCATAGGTGGGTGATGTTTCTTGTACACTTCAAATGTATCAAGGAAAAAAAAACAATCAGTATACGACAACAACAAGCAAAAAATCATGACACAAACAAAAACTTGTTAAGAAAATGACCACTAGCTACGTGTCTTTGAAACCATTGACCCGAAGCAGATTGCCAAAACCGGAGCAGAAGTTGGTATAAATTGCTATATGTGAGAGCTTGAACGCGTCAATTTGTTAAATAGAATAATGTTTTATGACGGTTTTCTTAATTTCACACAATGGATTATTGGCTATTGCATGGTGGGACCGTGGTTACTAGTTGCTAAGCAAAGCTCTCAATTAGCTGTATGTTTTGACCACCAATCACTTTCTAATCATAATAAAAAAAATAGATCCAAACAAATTAAAAAGGATCACAATTGCTTGCAGGAAAGGGTGAAAATGAAATGCCCTATTTTGTAGGAGCTGTGAGTATTTTAATTAGCTCTCGCTATGTTTTTGCAGTAAAAAAAACGACATTGATGATATTATTAAATTTGAAGTCACAATCTCCTAAGAACTTTAATATATAATAATAGTTTTTATACCAAGGATTAATAATGTATAATTTTGGACTCTTTCAATCTTAAACACACATTCTGAACAAAATTTAATAATAAAAAAAAAAACTCCAAAATCTGCAAAAACTGATGCTTAAACATATATGTCAGGTTTTTTTCACCCCAGTATCATTTTTATTTTTAATTTTCTGTCCCAAAGGGTAAAAAAACCTTTTCTACGTAGTAAAGTATTCCAAACAACGTGTTATAATTTTATCAAGGTGGAAATTTGTTCATCATTACTCTCTTTCTATTTTTTTCTTTTTGGATGGGTATAACTCGTCACTTGGACCTATTTATTATCCCCCACCAACCAATTTTTGTCTCCTTTTCCTTTCCGAACTCTCATGGCACCCAAAATGTGTAGAAGCCAACAATTAATAATTGGCACTAGTTGATAATATTATATATGTTCTAGTCTATATTATGCAATAGTTTACCGACACAAATAGGTCGACTCATCATATGATACTTTTCTTTTCAGAGAACCTTTCTAATCACAAGTTAAAATATCCACAAGAGAAATTAATTATTTCTTATAATGTGTTTATAAAAAAATTAACAAACATGGCAGATGAAAATAGAGGGAAAAATAAATATATGATTAGTTATGAGATATAAATTACAAAAGGTCATTAACCAGTTTTCCCTTTTACGCAAACTATATTTAACAGAAGTTATTAACAGCATCGTTATAAATAAACCTCGCCCTCAGCTATCAAACATAATTTTGCTTGCTAGTTTAGCTAAAGTGAAATATCTTGATAGGATGTTGTTATATGCAAAGAAACCATAGAAATCAAGAAACATAGCACAATATACATAAAAAAAATTAAAAAGTATAGAAACAGAAAGAGAATACTGACATTCACCACGATGATCCCTAACAACAAATGCTTCAGTCATGCCTTCACGAATTCGAACACTTTGATTGCTCCCAGGAGCCACTCTAACAGCAACTCGGAACTTCCGGCTACGTATCCAACTAGAATTATCAGTGAACTCAATGTCCCCAATTGGTGCAATCCCATCCCTCATGGTCAGATTCAACTCTCCTGTGAGCAACGGCCTCTTCCCCGTTCTCTCCTTCACTATGTGGTTGTTGAACTCCTCACTGGTCCAAGACTCCTTGTTAGGAAAATCTCCATCAAGCACCACTATTTCTAGCTTTATGGGGTATGGAAGACTCGTTGGAACCATTTGACCATCGCTTTTGTCGGTCAGAACCACCTGGATGGGGCTTCCATCATTGCCCATTATCTTACTACCCGTGAATATAGGGGGCGAAAGGTTCTTGTTGAACATGAGTTCATAGCTCGATGGTTGCTCCATTGCTTGGATCCTCAACGAAGGGGACCTTGTTATTGAACGTGGCACACAATGCCTCATCGCTCGCTCCACCTCTTCATTCACCTGATCGATCACAATTCACAATATATATAAACAATATTCATTATACAAAATTAATTCAATAATATCACATTAATTAGGCCACTAGCTCCTTGGCTTATTACCACTCTTCTAAGCAAGGGCTCCAAGCCTGAGAAAAGGTTCTGCAAGTTTTTCACCATAACCACTTCTCCTATTACCCTGTCAAGATTCAAGAAGATACATATATACATGCTGGTTTAGTTAACATATGAGACGTACGTACGTGGATGTTTGAACTTTGAAATAATAAGATGAAGCAAGCTGTTTATACATAAACATGTACATACGAAGCAAAAGAAGGTCTAGTAGGTCTCATCCGTTTGTCGCCTGGCTTATTAGTGTCTTGATCAGAATCATGGTGAAAGCGTTTGGCGGCCATTAAGAAGAAAGGTTTGGTTGTAGCTAGCAGTGGGTATGTTAATGAGAAGCAGGAGAAGATGAAATGCGTTTTATATATATATACCTATAGCGTGAACACTAGTTTATAAAACAAGATAAAGGGTGAGAGAAGGTTCTTGGAATGTCGGAGGAAACATCGAAGCAATAAGGAAGTGATAACGGAGAAGGAGTATGATATGATGTAAAGACTTGGACTTCAATAGAAATCCAAAGTCAACCCTTATATATGCATCTTTATCGTTCTCTCCGCGGTCAGGCTAAAACCCATGTAGGACCCACAAATTTACGCTTTTAATGGATTCATATTTCCTGCCATATTAAATAACCCTACCAAACTACTAAATTACGATAAAGACATTGTGTACCCGTAGCATCTCAAGCACAAAATTCTATTTTCACTTCTACTTTTTTCTTTTTAATCATATAAGATTTCAGATTTTTTTATTTTTTTTAACAGATGAATCTAATTTATATTCTTAATTTACTTTACGAGGATTTGACAATAAAGAGAAATCTTTATATAAACAACTCTCCCTCATAGGTTGCTTAACATTTATATGTACAGTGTAAAAAAAACATTTGGGTGTATGTATTTAAGAGAGATAGTATGTAATATCTATTATTTTGACTTCAAAAATATTTCTTTCAAAATCGAATATAAGCAAATTAATATTAAAAAAAGCTAATGAATTGTGAACCTAAATATATAAATATTAAGTATTTTTACTCTATTTAATAATACCATCTTCAAAATATTTTTTATTAATTAAAATTCTATTTTTATAACATCTTTTTATATCAAATTCTAATGAAAGGCAATATAGGGGGAAAATATTTTTAATTGAGATTGATAAAATCAAAAGTTTGTTTGAATGGAGAATTTTAAGAGAGTAATCCAATTTTGTGAAAATTTACGGATGCTTTGGTATGAAATGCTTTATTTTGATAAAAAAATTTCAAGTATTTGTGAAATTCCTTAAACGTGTATAACTTTAAATTCTCTTAAAGTAGACAAAAAAAATTTAATTATTGAATATTAAAAATTATTTTTAAATTATTAAATATTATTTATAATAATAAATTTTAAAATTATTAATTTTATAAGAATTAGCTAATACTTAGTTTTATAAAGTAAAATCTTAAGAAGTTAGTGTTATCTATGATAGAAATTAAATTGTCATATCCAATAAATACATTATTTCTAATTATAATAGTGGAATAATTTATGATGTCTGAATTAGGAGAAAAAAATAATTATAACATTGAAAAGTTACAATATTAATTACTTTGAATATTTTTTAAATGTTAAAACTGCAATTAATTTGGAATAAAGAGAATATAAGTTCGAAAAACTAGCTTATAATTGAGTTATGAGGGAGTAAGAATTTAATGATTATACATTATAATTTTATATTGTCAACTAATTAGGAAATATTATTGATATGAGTTGTAAGTTCAAAAGTATTTAATATACATGTACTATATTAATATAAAAAATATATATTATTATTAAGGAATTTAATATGTATGCACTATTAATATTAAAAAAATTATTACATTTATTCTTCTATATAAGACTCGATTATCTAATTCATTAAGATTAAAAAAAAATAGTTAATTTATTTTATAGTAATAAATTTGTCCTATTTGTATTTTTTTTTTCAAAAATTACTTTTATATTTTTTTTCAACTAATACTCATATCTTCTAACGAATTAAAGTACATATTTTATATTATTTCTCTTTCTTAATTAATACTTAACTTTTTTTCTAAATGCATGTTCTTTAAAAAATTTTAATATATTTTACAAATTAAGATAACACAATTTAATTAGGAATATTTTAACCTAAAAATAATTAATATATGAAATAATATGAATTGAATCTTATTATTTTTTTATAAGAATAAATAATTATTCTAAGTCGAGTCTTGTATATAAAAACAAATAATATATTATTAATTGATAAAAAAATGTTTTTTAATATAATTTTTAAGATAATTATTATTTATGGGTGATCCCAATATATTTTTTAATCAAGAGTTCAATACTAATTCTTCTAAGTAATATGATCTATTTAAATTGTTAAATCTCTTAATTCTTTTATGCGTGTACTACGTTCATTACCGTAGTTGTTATCAAAATCATCAAGCTTAATTTGATGGTGATTTGTGATTAAAAATTCCTTACAATTACATGTACGTATATTTATTCATATATAATTATTTATTTCATTCTGTACGTAATGTAGTAAATTTACTCAAAATTGCTTTCTTGTTAGATTTCGTGATCACGAAACAGTTTGGTCAAACTACGCGCTTCTAGGAAAGATCGAAAGAGTCTCGAGGGCTCTCCCCTACGGTCACTCTAGTGCTATATAACTTGTATCAACAAATCATACGTATGACTTTGTTTTTTAATAGCTTAAAGCACTATTTTCAAATTCTAATAGTGTTACAACTCTTATTTCTAGGTGAATTTTGTTTGCTAGCCACTCTAACCAGGCCACATATGTTTCTATATACATCAAGAATTTAATATAATCGGTAATTCGGTATATAATCTAAAGTCAATCGCGAAAGGTCGTGCCATACTTATATTTCTTAATCAAATCTTCATAAATAAAAAATTTACAAAAAAAAATTTATAGTAAGATAATCCACCTTCATGTAAAATTAAAGTCAAATATTGAATTTTTTTTAAAATTTTAAAATTATAAATTAATCACTTCATCTTCATACTTGATGCAAATCTACATAAAAAAAAATATATACAATGCAAGAAAAGTTGAATTCAATTTTAAGTAATAATTAATAAAAGCGAATGGACTTGATCAATTATATCACTCTTGTAAACAAATATTGATATTTAATATGCAAGAAAAATACTTTTTATTGAAATAATACCCTTTTTTTTAAATCAAGATATTATTTAATCAAAAGTTAATATTGATTTTTTAAAGTAATGAGATTTATGTAAAAAAAATTGACTTCTCTTAACAAATATTTTTCAATACAGAAAATGAACTCTTAATACCACATATTTAAGAAATAAAATTATTTATCAACTATATCAAATCTTATAGTCTAAAATTACATTTCACTTCTAAATAAGTTAACATATGGTGGAAAAAGGATTATTATTAGTCGGATGTTAAATAGAATCCAAATACCCTCCTAATTATATATAAAAAAAATTATGACTTGTGCACTCAAATTATTATTTATGAATAATAAGTTAAACATTTTCTTTTTATAAATATTAACAAAATCAAAGATACCATTCTTACAAAATTATGCTTATATACACGTGTATGATGACATGATTAAGCAGCATATATATTGCCAAAAAAATGAATTTAATTAATAATAAATTAAACATACTTATTAAAGAAAATACAATCATGTAATCTAAATAATAAAATAAAAAATAAAAAGTTTGATGAATGAGACTTTTTATTTAACGAATGTCATTGATAATTTTATATATACTGTTATTTTGAATAAAGTTTATGTAGTAAACAAAGAATATTTGAAAAGATGTTGTTGTTTTGTTGTTATTATTATTATTGTTGTTGCACTTCCACATCAGAATCCATTCGAAGTTTGGCAGCTCTTTCCTATTTTCATGGCACGTGCCTCCTCGCTTTCTTCACTTTCATATCCATCCATCCATCCACATCGATCCCACTTTCTCAACTGTTCCTAATTAAGTCTGTAATACTCCTACTCCTGATCCATTTTCACCATGCACCACACCAGTTACCCATCAAATATACCCTCACATATATACTATTTGTAAGAGCCTTTTTATAATTTTTATTTTTCATTATCTTTTTCCATTAATTATTCGTTTTATCTTATATTTCTCTTATTTATAAGAATTGTATAGAGATACTAATACATTTTCTCTTCTACTTTACAAAAATTACTAGCAACACATTTTTACTCTTTTGAGTATAATTTTTATAGGTTAAATTTTATTAAGAATATCAATTATGGGAGTTATATACATTTTATTTGATATATATATATATATATATATATTAATTATTTCAGTCCAAAAAATGTCTATGATTTGTCTAGTTGCTCAATCAAAGTTAGGATATTTAAAAGTATAATTTTTAAGATTAGGAATTTTATATTTGATTATTAGGAGTTTATGAATCTTGAGAATTTCAAGATTTGATGAGGTGGTTACTTATTAGTATGTGATATTGGTTAATAAAGATAAGATTTTATATTAGATACGAGTCTCACATCAAATTTGTGTCAATATTCGTTAAAATATTGGGTTACTCGATCTATTAAAAGTATAATTAGTGGGATAGTTGTCAACTTGATTCTCTTGATCAAATCCTTTTGACAAATATTTAGGATATTCAACTAAATCCTCTCAACAGGATTCACGTTTGTCTATCAACCTTAAACATAAAAAAACGTAGAGATTAATTTGAAACACACTCTTAATGAATGTTTAGAGTATTCGATTAAAAACTTTCGATCAGATCTCTAAACAAAAGTTGGGATAGTACATTAATAAATTATGATCCATAGAAAAAGATATATTTGAAAAGATGTGTTAAAATTTGTATTGCTGACCGTCATTAGCAGTTATGGTTGATTTGTGCTGTACTTGTTGTGGTATTACATGCAATATATAGTGACGTAGAAGGAAGCAGATGTGAAACTATGCCGAGGTTTCTGCGTAATGTTACGTTACACATAACATGACTTCGTAAATACTTTTCTATTCCTATTTTGGTCTATAGGACACGAACAAATGTTTAAAAGTCACTGTCATTGCCATTCATTCAATTCAACCTTAAAATAAGTAATATTCTGTAAACATTTATTTTCTATTATTTTATCACTCTTTTTTAATTTTATTTTTATTTTTCATTACACCATGTTTCGAATCATCTCAACTTGAATTATGTTTTATGAAAAAAAATTAAGGTCTACTTATAGGGTTCACATCTAAAACTCGCATTAAACGTAAACTCTCTCATGTTCAGTGTGAGGACTCACCATGGTAATTTGCATTTTTGCAATTTCTATCTAATTGGGTTCCCAAAGCCCCTGAAAATAGTAAAAATAATAATAAACAAAATATTAAATAAAAGTTTTTCATTTTAGTTTGACCCAGTTATTTGTTTCTTTTGAGTTCTTTATAACTTAGTCCTAAAATTAGTTGAAGAAGAAAAATATTAATAATAAATTGAATAAACAGAAAGAAAATAAAAAAAAATCAATTTGAATATCCGTTACCTACTTTTTTTTTTTATTTGTTTCATTCGTTAGTCTAATGCTTGTCGTTAGTCTCGTTTTTATCTACTGTCATTTTCTTGGATTTTTCTTTTTGGTGGTTGTATTTCCTTTTGAGCTGGATATGTTGCTGTGTATAGTTTTGGGTTATCTTTATTATTATAAGATCCACTTGTTTGGGCCCAACCCAACATCTTATTCCTAAACACACTTTCTTTTACTTCATTGTGTTCGCATTCTTTCAGTATTTTATTGTTAGTATTGAATATTTTATTTTGTTTGTGTTCCTCCTCTTTTTGGGTTGGATTGGTGTCTTTCAATCATGATGGCCTTTAACTTTCTCTCCATTTAAACAAAATAATTTCGTTGGGGCCTGCAAATGCAATGTGCAAATTTCTTTTATTTGTTTTGTCCACTAGAATTTATCTTTTCTCATAGTCACCCAAGAGGTCCTAATAATGCTAGTAGTGTTACGGACAATAAAAATCAATTAATAAAAATAAACCTAACAAGAAAGTCATTAATGCAAAAGGAAAATAAAATTCTTCTTTCTTTCATTCTTCTTTCGAATTTATAGTCAAACTCATCAATTTAAAAAAATAACAATAACTCATTTGACCGAATAAACTTAGCGTTTCTAGAATTTTTACCTTATTTCATTTTGCCTTAAAACATAGATTAAAAAGATTTATCAAAATTTTAAAATATTAAAGAAAAATATTTATGAATTCTAAACTAACTCATAATAATATTATATACAAACAGATAAATTTTCAAATTCCAAGCTAACTATTGCAAAATAATATAGTCTAAGAAACTTGACTAGGGGTGTAAGTAAGTACAGATAATCTGTGAATCTGAACTGACTCAAACTAATCTAATAAGTTCGTATCGAATTTGTTCAGTGTTTGGGTCAAATCCAACCCAATTTGATCAAAATTCAGTATTATACGAATTGGATAATGTGTTTTATACTTTCAATCCGTAATCCAATTCGACCCGACTATATATACTACTACTACTAATAATAATAATAATAATAATAATAGTGTCTGAATGATCATTTGTTCAGAATAATACTCATTTTTACTCTTAGTTAATAACGAATTTTATGTTTTAGGTTAATAACATTATAACAATATAATATATTTATTTTAAATTTTATTTTGTATTAATAAATGTTGATTTTTTAGTTAATAATAATGTAATAAATTAATAGATTTATTTTAAAATTTATTTTGTATCACCGGTGGTTTTATAGGTTGATAACATTATATTTGTAGTAATATATCAAATTATTTACATATATTTTAAAATATTTAAATTTTTTATAATAAATAAATAAATTTAATTATACTGACCCGATTAACCATTAACTCAATTTATTAAATTTTGATTAGATCATTATATGAATTCATCCAAACCTAATCCAAACTTGATACAAATTCGTTTGGGGATGGTTGCTGGCCTTTTTGTTTCTCTTTCAATTTGATTTCAGCATCTCCGGTGAAGCTATTCTCCCGTCTCTTGTATTTGTAGACTCCCTTTACCTTTTAGATACATTTTTTTTATCAATACCTCATACCCACACCCTTTTTCTATTTATTTCCCTTTTACTATTAGGGTATAATTCACAAGCTACACTTATATCTTTATTTATTATACACACATAAAATATGTATAAATTATGCATTATGTATAAAAGACTGACACTAATATTTCGAGATTTCGCATGCACGTTGTTTGTTTTTAATCTGCACACTAACACTCTTAATTGATAGCTTCCAGGCAAAAAAAAAAATTCAAAGAGATTTATAATATATTATTATTATTATTTCTTTCATAATGGCAGAAACTAATTCTAACTTGAATCTTTTGTTTATACATTTTATTTTTAATATTATCCTATAGTGATTTTAGAGGAGTGTAGTATTTATCCCAAATACAACTTCTACGAGCTTCCTTGGTGGCTGCTATGTACTACTACATCACTTACATATCTTTTTGTGGACAAGTTTGATGACTTCATGTGGAAGTCAATTTAAATGGCTTCTTGAGCCTTGCCTCCTTTATTTCACGTGTGACATACAACAAAGTCAAGTAAGTCATCTCCTTTTCATTTTTTCTATTTACTTTTAATTAAAGAACAAAATTTATAAATAGAACCGTAGATATTGAATGAAATAATTTATTACAAATTAAAAATTCTGATTGTAATAAAAAAAACAACACTAACAACATGTATGTAGCATTCTAAAAACCACGTAATACTATTTTATTATATTCATTCACTATTTTTTTAAGAGAGAAAAGCCATGATAACTAAGTAAAATATTTTTATATTATCATTCAATTCCAACATATGATAATAATTTATTGATTTTTATAGTAATTATTTAAAAAAAAACACATTAATAGTCATTTTTATTGATTTATGTTGTAATTTTTTTATATTAAAAAAATTCATTGACGTTATCAAGTGGATCTATACTAACCATTATAGGTTAAACTAAGTAGTTGAATGAGTTGGGTAAAAATAGATGATTTGCTATTTTGATGGATGCATGTGATGTTTTATAAAATTTTTGAGTTGCATGTATGATCAAGTAGTGAAAATGAGTTGTAGATGGTGTTTAGAAAGAAAAATTAGTAAATTGTAAGTAAGGAACGAACGGAAAAGTCATGAAAGTGCAAAAAAATTTGCACTCAATGTTACAATTGTGGTTGAGCGTTGTAGTTATGAGAGAAATTGTGATGACAAAGATTTAACGTTGTAATCATGATTAAGTGCTACATTCATAGAGAGAAATTGATCATTAGTTTGATAAGTAAAATTATAAGTCAAACTAAGTACTATTAAACTAAGTACTAGTTTGAAAATTCTCAACAAGTCACTGACTCCTTGCATTATAGCTAATCATGAAGATGTCATTTCCTATCAACCAATTTAAAACATAAAAAAATATACTAATATATATAAATAATACTTTTACTCTTTCCTAAAAACGATATTACATAATATTATTACTATTATATATTACATATACATATTACTTTTAAAACCAATTACAGTATTCATCTTTTTATTTTATTATTTTTCTTTCATAAACTTACTTCAAATATATGTAACAATATGTATACATATTTTAACCTTTTTGTTATTTACACTAATTTATACAATTTAATTAGTGACTTGTCCATTAACTCAGTATATCAATTTAGTTGATAACCGGTTTCTTGTTCTAATATTAATAACACTACCTCACATCTTCTTTTTCACTTTTGCTATCTCATTTTTAAAATAATTATATTATATATCAAGTACATATTTAATAAAAAATAATATATATATTGCTTATACACATCTTAAATGTATTGTTTCTGGTATAATGAATGATTTTGTTTAAATACCGCACCAATACTCTATTAATTTGAACTTTTATCAGTATAAAATGATGAAAACAAACATGAACATCAAACACAAATCAATTGTACTGCAACATCGATTTATATACTCTTTTTATAGGAAACTTGTTATAAAATGTATTATATATAGTATATAGTATACAATGAATAATAATGTTTAAATACTTCACTAGCACTCTATTTAGTTCCTGGTTCGTTTCTGTACCCAAAAAAAATATTAAAAATCCCTGGTCAATGATTAAAGAAAAAGGAAAAAGAAAAAAAGTCCCCACAAATACAAATCAATTGAATTGCATGATCTTTGGAGCAAACCTCAGCAATCTATCTAAAGCATGAGGCGTGAATTTTCTTGCAAACAAGTGACAAACATTGGTGGTCTCCCCATTGTACTGACATGTTCTCCCATGCCTCAGCCTCTTCAAAAAATCAAGAGTTACATCGTTTCTCAGAAACCTGGCTGGATGGGGCCCACCCTTAGACCAATCAACCCATGTCAAAGTTCTGTTTGAGTTATTCTCCCAAAACTTGATGCTAACAAACGTTGGCAAGTAGTGTTCATCACCATAACATCCTCTCCTGCAATACTTTTTGAACAAAGGGAAGTAGTGTTGGTCAGAGACTATCTCAATGGCAAGGGCACGGTCTAGTTGGAACCATTGTGACCCTTTTCTCCACTGAGAAAGCATAACAAGTGGCCTCATTCTGGGGTTGTACCTGCCTCTCCCCACTGCACCTGGCATGTCATAGGCTTCCACAAAGGTTTTGGTTGAGTTCATGAGGTGGTTGTAGATGGTTGAGAAATTGAACAAAGGAATGCATGACTCTGAGAGAAGAACAAAACGTTGGTTGGAGAAGTCAAGAAGTGCATTGGCCAGTAAGCGTCTCTCTGCCCCTACAATGTTGAAGTCACCCCATCTTACCTCCTGCATCATCATGTTATCAGCAGAAATTAGATAAGTATTCTAACACTCTGTTTATAAAAAATAAAATAAAAAAGAGCGAAAGTGCAATGAAACAGACTTAAAAATAAAAGTTATTTGATAAGAGGGAAATAAGAGAAAAGTAGAAGTTTTTTTTAATAGATAATTTTGTTTTCAAATAAATATATTATTTTTAAAAGATAAACAAATAAATATATTTTTTTATAAATAATTTTATTTACATATAATAAATATTTTTTATTATAGATATATTATTATATATATATATATATAATATTCATAAATAAATTTATTTTAAAATATAAATGAAAATTGGTTTTATTATTATATTTATTTATATAGTGTTATTATTTTTATTTTATTATATATATATATATAACATATTCATTCCTTTTATTTTAAATATAATAAATAAAATTATACTTATTATTTATTATTATTAGTCTTTTTATTTATTTCTTATTCTTTTTTTTTTCACCAACTTCCCTACATTCCCCTCATTTTAGAGGAGAAATATTTTGGTATGGGTCCCACAATAATATTCTCACACTTCCCTCAATTATCCTTTACCAAACAACTCTCATTCTTTAATTTTCACACACTTATTTTCTCTTTTGTACTCTTATCTTTTCCTCCTCATTTCCCAACATACCCTAAAATCTTAGAATGTCTTGGATAAAAAGTGTTTTATGCACAAATAAATATATCTATAAATACTTATAAGAAAAAAGAAAAAGAAAATAAAATTAACTACTCCATAAATTGTATAAGTTAATTTATTAAAATTCTCATTAATTTTTTCAAAAAATATTACAGTAACACAAGGCCAAAATTAGCTTATGACAAAAAAAAATCTCCCAATTTTCATCTCTTACACGCGCTTCTAGATAAGTTCATCTAGTTAGGTCCTAAATGTGTAGTTGGGTCAATGGGGAAGTGTTTTTCTTGGGTTTTGGATAGACACTATCTCCATTTCCAACAACAGGCTAATGTGCGTAGTTTGAGGCCCACATTAATGTCTGTTGAAAAATATAATAAGAATTTAATTTTAATGCACTTTTGCTTGTAAAAGAATTTACCCCATAATTCAATCAGAAGTCATTGTTAGAATAATTAACCGTAGTTATCGTAAAAATCAATAAATTTATAGTGTATATATATAGTTTATGAATAGATCATAACAATATACATTTATCATTTACATTATAATTCATAAAATAAAACGGTAAGAAATTTGATGTGCAGCTTGATCAGATTATCTGTTGCATATGTGAGAGACGGTATGAAGAAAGGAATTATGAAAAGTTTGATGAGGACGTTTAAAAGTTTGCAAATGAAGAAGAATGGAATTTTCTGAGGTGCAAAAGGAGTGGAATCAAAGAAAAGTATTGACGGTTTAATTTTAACATTGAAACTTCGGAAGCAACCAACAATAACAAGGAAAAAAACTGGACATTCCAGTATTCCACAGCTGTTCATGTTATTTTTAGCTCATTCGGTTGTAAATTATAGAATTTATAGTCATCTGGAAAATGGAAAATCTCACTTTAAGGTATACGTGAATTCAAATCCTTTCCCAAAAGAAGACAAATGGATGACCAAATGACCAATTATTGCACTGGGAATATCATAAAATTTTCTCATTCAGAATATATAGATGACTTCAAAAGCCATATTATTTATATCAAGTATAGTCTATAGCTGGTATATGACGATTTGATCTTTTATCAAAGCCTCCATTTACAAGATATCCTTCATTGCTGACCATGAATTAATGACTTTAAATTAAGGTTTATTACGTTTCATAGAACTCATAATTAATAATGTGTTCAACTCTTATCGTAAGAAATTCCCATATAATGAATATTCAGGTTCATGCAGAAAGGGGAAGTTAGAAGTTTTTCTTTCTCTAAAAAAATATACAGTAGCAGGTTTAATTAGACTCCTTAAAGAACTTGTTCAGAGGTAGTGAAGAGAATAAGTGTGTGATCATTCAGCTTTAACAAAATTTAATTCTATCTCTCTCTTATGTCCTACACAACCTTCTTTAACCCTCATCAATTAGTTAAAAATATCTTGCAATAAAAAATAAACCCAGTAAATATCATAGCAAATATTTGTATTTTTTTTTTCTCTTGAAGACCTACGGTCGAGTCAAAAAGACACATGCTACAGATATGAAAACGTTTAATAAGGCGTTTATTGAGGGGCACTCGTGTTTGCCATCATATAATCAAAACTGGTTTCTTGTGCCGTCTCATGAAAGCCATGGAATACCAAAAGACTAATCTAATTGGAAAATATTGCGCTAATGGGGGAAAGAATCTCTTAGTTTTGGGGCAAAGTCAATCACAATTCTTGCACTTTGAGTACGTAAGCAGAAAACACAAGTCAATTATTTTTTTTAAACTCCAACAGATTTGATCATCACATGGAAAAACTAGAATTTTGGTTCTCTTAATGAAATGAAAAATTGGTGATCACATGAAATGCAACATAGCCAATTAGGAAAAAGTAGCACACACTAACCTTGCTGGGGATTCTGCGGCCATGAAACACAGAAGTTTGAGGCACTGTGTCATTGAAAGAAGGATGTGAATGGACATAGATAGAATAGAAGCCTTGATTTCCTTTGAAGAATCTCTCCCACAAGGGACCCAAAAACAAAGGCCCTTTTGCCAAAAACATAAATGCAACCTTTGGGGTGTGTTTCGAAGGTAGTTCCTTGATCCTAGGAACCATGGAAGCTCTCCAAAGCAACTCTTCCTCTGTCATATCATGCATAGCCTTGGTTGGCATAAGGAAACCCCTTAGCCCATTTCGTGTGAAGTTGGAGGGTTTGGTGTGATTGTTTGACGATGAGATGATGATGGGAGGAGGAGAGAGGGATGGGAGGAAGAGTTGGTGGAATTGAAAGTTGAGGGAGATGTGTTTGAGAGAGAAAGTGAGGGTGAGTCCAATGAGCAAACCAGAGATAAAAAGAAGAAGATGAGAGAAGAAGTTGAACGTATTATGTGATTGAACGGCCAAGAGTCTGGATGCAAGGGGGCGTTCTTGCAAAGTATTCTTCATGCTGCTCATGTTTGATGATGACCAACCAGGAGCTAAGTCCTGGATTCAGCTACTTATATTCATTGCCAAAATTCCTCCATCACTTGGAGCTTGGTCAATATTGGTATATAATACAAATTTAATTTCGTAACATACATTTAACACCCATTAGGCATTACTGCATTAGTAAATCAATATTACATATAATTTAATTTTAAAATAACATAAATAATATATAAAATTGGTAAAAAAAATTAAAAGAAAATCCTAAAAAAGTTCTCGTTTACATTATCACTAAATTATTATTATGTACAAAAAGTTTGTAAATTTTTTAATAATTATTTTATAATCTAAACATAAGATGATTTTTAATTAATTAGTGATCTAAAAAGTGCATAAAAATTAAACTATACAATCAAATAATACCATATGTCATATTAAACTTTGACACCAAATCTTGTTCATCTATTTTTTTTATTTAACTAAAATGTCCATATCAATCTCATATCTTTTATTTAATTCATCACTACAATCGTGATCACTGCAGACATAATTGTAAAGTTAATACAAGAAGGTATACAATTTTTTTTTATAAAAAAAGTAAGATTATTTCATAAAATCTAAGCTGTGAAAATTAAATTATTTTAATAATTAATTATTGTTGTAATCAATTATAATCAAAATTAAATTTTATTAGATAAGTTGGCAAAAAAATAATTTTAAGATGTATAAGTTCATTTTGATACAATAAAAAAATAATTTTTATGTAATAAAGAGGTATATTAAATTAAAATTTTATAAAAAAAATTTAATAATACAAAAAAAAATCTTGTGGATTTAAAAAAATCTTTGTAAAAATTTAATGACTTTTAATTTTTTTTTGAAAGATTTTGTGAAAATGTAATGATTTTTAAAATTTATTTTTTAAAAAATTTAATCAAGATTTTGTAATATGAATTTTAATTAACTTGTATATTGAAAATTTATAAGATTTGAAAGAATTTTATTATATTTCAAAAAATAATATAGATTTTTTTAAAAAAAATACTATTAATTAAAAAATAACACAAATAACAAGATTTAAATAAAATAAAATAAAACTAATAAATTTTTCAATTTTTTAATAAACAATTAATTTTAATTTCAATTTCAATATACCCTGAATTATCTTTATAAAAAAAACGGTTGAAGTCAATCATGAGTTTCAAATTTTTAACTTCATAAAAAATTTATATTTCAGAAAAAAAATCTACGAATTTAAATTTTTGTCCCAATTTTTTTATAAAAAAACAGTTGAAATAAGATATTATAATTTCTCCTAAACACTCTTTATATAAAAAGAAAATATGGGATTTTCTACATTGGTTGAACAACGAAAAGCTTTTCCCAAATCCGTTGCAAATTAAAATCTTCACCAAAATAACGTAAAAATGTAAGCACTACAAGAAATTCGTATTTCGAATATATATTGACAACCTTGACTCTATCGAAAATATGAATACTATTGACGACAGCTTTAGCCATCGCAAGGGTGGATTCTACAAAATTGACTAAACGGATGCTTTTCTGTCAAATTTTATTTTATTTTTTGTCTTTTATGCAATAATTTAGGTGCTGAATTACGGATAGCTAAATCATAAATACTTTATCGCTATTTCAAATAAATATAAGTAAAATATAATAATTAGTAATTGATTTAATAATTAGTAAAAATAAATAAGTGAAATTTAATAAACGTAATAAATATAAAAATAGTAATAAATTAATACTTATAAAAATTAATAAGTAGAATTTAATAATTAGTAATGTTGTGAGTTGCATCAATTGTCTCGTGACGGAAGCTAAGTGGGTCAAGTCACTGTCGAATCATGGCGCTTGGGCTGCTGCGCTCTTAAGTAAAAAGAGTTGCGCCCTGACTATAAGCTATAGTTTTTGGCCTAGTGGTAAGCGCTCAATCCAACAAGTAACATTATAAATATAGTAATTAGATAAGAAAGTAGTGATAGATATTAGCAGCTATACCTAAAATGGCGCAGGAATTGAGCATGAAAAACCATTTAATAGTAGTAGATAGATACTACACCATCACCATGGATTAAAACAGTTTTTGAATGAGCTGAACAAGGGTGAGCCTGTTACGTGCTCTTTCTAGGAGGTGTAAATGTTTGACCACGAGTAACAAGTCTTATCAAGATTCCATTTCAAAAGGATCTTTACACCTCTTCGTTTTACTATCACTTTCTCTTAATTTAGCAGACCAGTGATGATAAATTGGCTATTGCATTGCAAAATTCTTTGAATCCTTGATCCATATTTTGTCGGCTATAGCGGCTGCTATGGTGTACCCTACATGTTTACAAAAATCACTGCAAAGTTTAACTTTTGAGTTAATACCAAATTATTGGCTTTCCGCCATTTTCCCCAATCCACAATCCAACGCTGTTGCACACACGTTACTCCTATTTTAAATACCAAGAGCAAATATGTTGCTATAATGACCTATATCTTTAACCTTTATATGACCACAAAAATCACTTCATTTGGAAGTATATTCAAGAATCTCATCCACTCCTCAATGACTTTGATGTTATTAGGATCTCTCTCCTTTTTTTTTTTTATGTTTAACCAACATCAACAATATTTAAACAACTCTTGAACTTAAATACATCCAACAAAAAAAAAATTTGCATCATACATATTATTGGAGATTGTTATTGACTAATCAAGAAAAAACAACTTTCACCTTATAAATTAATTATTGATTTTGAAGTTAAGTTCTTGTTTACTATTAAGGTTATTATTAAATTATATTTTATTATGTTCAATTATATAATCTTCACACTTAAGATATTCAATTTTTAATATAAATATTGAAGATTTCATATAATCTAATAATATGATCGAATTAGTATATGTAAATAAGAAGAAAAAAAATATTATTATACAAATCAGTTTTATGAAATTAAATTAAATCTAAACTCTTATTCCTTCATCCATACAATATCTTGTTGATACATCATCACAAAACAAACTGATATCGACCATTATTCTCACTATTAAATACAAAATCTATTTTATGGGACAGATATACATTCACGGATATTTCAAGAATCAAATACTTTCATTCTCACAAGGAAGAAGGATGTAGAATAACAGCACCAGTTAATCATAGCTTGCTTTAACTAACATCAGTGAGACGGTGATTGTACTTGCCTATATTATTTGCCGGCATCGGCAAACCGAACACATTTGATCCATATTTATCACTATGCAAATGTACATCAGCAGAAAACAAGTCTTTCTGTATTATATGATAATTTCTTGCTGAAATTATTCTGTATTCTCCGTATAGAAGTGCTGCATTTTACAGCAAGTGATAATTTCTTGCATTATTATTTTGCATTCCGGTACAAAAGAAGCCACAATATTGTTTTAAGAACTACCCAGACAATGAGAACGTAAAAGAGTGTGATTTTAGCAAAAATTTGGTGACCTGATAATGTAATTGATGGTGGAAAAGACAGGTTGACACCTAACAATGTTTTTGTCCAAGAGTCTTGATTAAATTACAAACATAATTTTCACTTTCCAATGCAAAACATCAAGTAGCATTTGATGCGTTGTTGTTCTGGTTTATTCTATTTTTAAATCATACCAAACATATAATAGAACTCATGTTACATTTCATTCTAACATGTCTGCTACAAGCTACCCAATAAATCCAAATATAAATGTTTATTATCTAAAAAAATGCACATTTCATAACCATGAATAATACAACGAAGCCGCAAGCAAAACCCCACAACACTGGACTAAGAATGTTTGAATTTTGACGAAAGACAACTAAAAAATGCATCAACATTATAATCGGCCCAACTGAATCATTTCCATACTAGAGGTACAAAAGTGATTATTATTTTAGATCTGTGATTGAAAAAATGAAACAAAAGCAAAACAGGGAAACAGCAAAAGGAAGCTCCATGTTTAGTAAACCAGTCAACAGAAGTTTGCTTGTCTATAAACATGGTGAATTTGGACGTCCCAATCATAAACAAGATGTGCTTAATTTTGGTGATGAGACCATGATAAGGATTATTAGTAGGGCAAAAAACCTAATGTCAGTGGTATTAATGCAATGGTGGCATCAATGATGATATCACAGACATATAAGATTACCATGAATGAGCATAATATAATAGCAACAAAGTCATGGATTCACCAGGGAGCATATGTAGAAATTAAAAATAAAAAAAAAAGTGAGGACCAGAACTTTAGATTTTCCTGATTATGAATAAAAACTAAATTTACAAAGATAATCAACATATGGATAAGAAATTAAAAAGATATATTAATCCACTGCAAGCCGATAGGAATAACAAAGGTATAAGTAAAAGGAAAATAAATATACAAAAAAAAAAAAAAAGGCGATGCATGGGATCATGTCCAAGAGAGAGAAATCTAGTAACTAACTGTTGAGTTGGCATTGAGTGGGATCAGAAAGAGGTTCGGTGGTAGTGAGCATATCACCTGTTTAGGAGAGAGAGGAGGGTAGGCTGGGACTTTCGGAAGAGACTGGTCATTCTCTAATTGCCTAGAATATTTAGTTTCCTTTCTTTTTCTGCATTCATCTTTCATCTTTTCCATACTCTATCTTTTACTACATTGATAGTTGATACAATTTTGAGAATAATACATACTACACTTTACTTCATTTCCTTTCTTCTCATTTCTCTGGTACCTGCCCCAAGCACTAAAATTTTTTGCTAATTCAAGATATGGGCCATCTACAGGGTATGGAAGTGGTAGTGACGTTGAGTTAGTGGCGGATGGATTTAACATCCAGGCCATAACAGATTGTCACTACTATACTAAAATTGTCATATGATATCTCCATAGACATGACAACCTCCATTTTGCCAGTTCAAGAATTAGGATGTTGGTTTTGTAAGCCTCAAAAGTCTTCTTGGAGGAGTGAACTGCTAGCACTCAGAAAAATAACCAGAGATTTATTATTCAAAACATTGACAAAGAAAGACCATGTTTCTGGTTTGGGTTATTGGAGTCTCTCCATTTAGGCATTAACGCAAAGGGTCATTTATTGTGTTTATTAAATTATCATAGCAAAACTGGGTAGACCGATTGGACAACAGATTATCAGACGTGTATGTCAAATGGCAATGAACTTGAGTTTCATATAATATATATAACTACCACCTTCGCTCATATATATATATATATATATATATATATATATATGAGTTAT